GACGGCGACTGGGATGAGAATCAGGATGACGATGCTAACCCGAAACAGTGGCAAGCAAGTCAAATGCTCTGCCAGCAAGCGTTCAACCATTTGATCACTGGTGAAGACGCTTACCGTACAGATCAAAACACTGTTCCCGCCTCACAATTTGTTATTGAAGACCGCTATTCAAAAGACAAATTCCAAGGCATCATGATTGACACAGGTGCAGCCAAAGTCTCTACAGCCGGTCACTCTCAGTACATTGCTTTACAACGAGAAGATCGCTCTGTAGCCCTAGACAGCTCCAAGTCCGGCCAGGCTACCATCAAATTCGGGAATGGCGAAGCCATTCACTCGGTTGGCTCCATCGCCCTCAAAACACCAGTCGGACGGATCACGTTCCATATTCTTCAGACTCTACCCTTTCCTGCTTTCTTTGGCCGATATGGACCGTCTTGGAATATATTTTAACAACATCAAAGACACCATCGAATGTACTAATCATTGTACTAATCGCCAAATGAGCATCCCTGTCACCCGTAAATGGGGACACCCTGGTTCTTTCTCTCTAAGGCCGAAGACTCCATCACGTTTCTCACAGAGGCTGAGATTCGTACACTTCACCGACGATTTGGACACCCAGCAGTCCCTAGGCTATATCACCTTCTGAAGCAAGCTGGCCACAGCGACGTCTCGATAGGCACATTAGAGACTGTCTCTAAGTTCTGCCATCACTGTCAAATGCACTCGCAAGCCCCGAGACGCTTCAAATTCACCTCAAGGATGACCAAGAGTTCAATTACGAAATCATCGTTGATGTGATGTACCTAGGAAGCCCACAACGCCCTGTTTTGCACGTTGTGGACGCAGCCACTGCTTTCCAGGAGCAAGATTCCTACCCTCAATGTCAGCTAAGGATACATGGAGACCCTTCGGACCGCCTGGATCGACACGTACCTTGGACCCCTGACACCATTCGACACGACGCAGGGACCAACTTTGCTTCAATGGAGTTCCGCCAAGAAGCAAAACTCATGGGGATCAAATGCTCTCAAGTGCCTGTTGAGACGCATTGGTCCATCGGAAAATTGAAAGATATCACGCCCTCCGACGCGCGTATGACATCCTAAACGCGGAACTAAGCAACGTCACCTCCGCCGAAGCAGTGCTCCAAATGGCTGTAAAGCTATTAACGACACAGCTGGACCTGACGGGATTGTTCCAACTTTGCTTGTCTTTGGCGCCTACCCTCGTTTAACTGCGGAATCGCCCCCTTCTGCTTCTACCCTGAAAAGGTCGGCCGCGATGCAGAAAGCGATGAAGACGCTCCGCCAACTCTCAGCGGAAAGACAAGTTAAAGATGCCCTTCGCACGCGCAACGGACCGTCCACCGCCGACGTTTTATCCCTCCCACTGCAAAGTGAAGTTCGTGTTTGGAGAGAAAAAGACGGCTGGCAAGGACCTTTCAAGATTGCTTCGATTGACGGACATAACGTCACGATTGATACAGTCAATGGCCCCCAAGTCTTTCGTTCCACGCACGTACAGCCGTACCTGCGTGATGACTCCACAATCCCTCAAGTTCCTGCCCCTGCCCAGGACGAAGAAGAAACCCCTGCCCGACCTGACCCCCCGGCACCCCGCAAGAGAGGACGCCCACCCGGATCCAAGAACAAGCCAAAGGATTTGATCATGATGACCGCTCCTCCAGGCCAAAGTTTCCTGACTCAGAAGGAAGAAGATGCATACGCTTTATCCATCAAACTCAGGAATGAAGGCATCATCACTGCTCCCGGCGCCCCATTTGAAGAATCCGATAACATCGAGATCACTGACCTCGTAGGACGAGGTGTATTCAGCTTTGAACGATACGATCGAATGATTCACGGTAATCATCACATCTTTCGCTCCCGAATGGTTCGTGAAGTCAAAGGCAAAGACACCAAACCGTACGAGAAATCACGACTTGTTGTTCAAGGACATAGCGACTTTGAGAAGACCACCCTACTAACGCAATCTCCGACAATTCAACGCGTTAGTCAAAGACTCATTTTAGCTATTGCCCCGGACTTCTTCAAGGCAACGGCATGACCTTTCCCTTCGCGACATCACTCAAGCATACCCACAATCCCAAACCGAGCTATTCCGGACAATTCTGACCTATTTGCCCACCGAATTGCAAGGCAAATACCCCCATGGAACGATCATTCGTGTTATCAAGCCCCTATACGGAATTGCAGAAGCTGGAGTCCATTGGTATCGTACATATCAACAACATCACCTCAAGAACCTTGATATGTCTACTTCAACCTATGATTCCTGCCTTTTGATCACAAACACCGGCCCTAACACGTTTGGCATTGTTGGAATGCAGACAGATGATACCCTTATGCTTGGAACAGACAGCTTTTCCGCCCGTGAAGAAGAAAAGCTCGAGGAAGCACAATTTCGAGCCAAACCAAAGACATCGATGACCCCAGGAACAACGGTTGACTTCAATGGTGCAAAACTTACCCTGCTGGACATAGGATCCCTATCGCTTCAGCAAAAAGGACAAGCCACCAAAATCGCCACCATTGACCCCAAAGCATTTGATCATAGCCAACGCTACGTCGAGCAACGAGCGCGCGGATCGTACATGTTGCACTGTTACACTGGCACATCAATATCTACAAGCCTCATCAACCTTTCTTTTGCAAGGCTTATTCACCATTCCCTCAGCCGAGGCATATTCGGCCGTATACTCAGCCAAGACTCATTTTGTCTTCCAGTCAACCTAGGCTAATGCAGGCAATTAACCTTCCTTTTGCCTACGCTTTTCACAGCCACAACCCAACAGCTGGGTTATTCATTCACTTCCACTGTTCTTCTAGCTATATAAGATCATTTACACCCTCTCTAGATAGAAGAATCAAGAGCTTTATTCCACTCAAGATTAATGCTTGCTGCCCATCTCGTACTGCAATATATATTAATAATTATTGATAAGCTTAAGAATACATAACAATATGGAGAATCCGTAAACAATACATAACAATATGCCAAAAGTATGTATTTATTTATTATTTAGATGTCTGCCGATCCGAATGCCGGCCTCATTTTTTCCAAATCTCCGGCACAGCGGCCGACAGCACTTAGACTAAGGGGCCCGGCGTCAAAGACAACGCGTACGGAAGCGGCAAGACCGTTCAGAGGAGCTTGCGGCGACTCTCCTCAGACATACAAATGAGCAGATAGTACTCGATACGTTGCTTCTTGCTCTGGAGACGTCTTCGGGTATGATAATAGTGATACATGTATTACTCGAATAGGCTATCCAATAACTTTCAAATGAGATTTCTATTGCCTAGTGCAACAACTCGTCAAACAATTGCTTCACGTGATATATATGTGTTCGAGCGGAGGGACGAGTATTTTTTCGTAGAATACGTAAAGACTGCTGCAAAGTATGAACCAGCCCCCCGTCACTCCGGCGGTGATTTTAGCTGTCACAGACCAGTGTCCGCCGTGCGTCGTAGACGTTCAACAGAGTCGACAAAAGGCCCATAGCTGAGTTCATCAGGATGGGTCTACATTGAGGAAGGGCGATATCAGAGGCAACTCCTCAGTTGAAATCAAGCTATTTATGACTCTAGACTTACAGAAGGATGCGTCGCTGGACCCAAATGTAATTTGTCTGAAGCTTCCACCAGAGCCATAGCAGCCCAATCGTTGAGGACAGGCAAAAGAGCGAAGCAAAGACGGTGAGTGGCACATCGCGCGCCAGACTGTCCACCGAATGACCGATGGCGCCCGCCTTTTCAAGTACTGAAGACTTACGGAGCGAGGCGAATGTGGACGGGAAGACAAGGTAGCCGGCAAGGAGCAGCCACGAGCGCGCTCGCAGCGATGTTGTATTTGAGGGCGTATTTTCAAATTCGCACAACATGGCCACGTATGCTGTCATACGCGCAGGTCGTTCGTCCGACGAAGCGCCATATCGTTCACGGCTCGCTTGGCCAAGGCTGTCTGTACAGTTCTTGATATTACTCAAAGGGCTTTCGTACCATGCGAGTCCATAATAATGAGGTATGTATATAGACACTTCCACAACACGCGACTCGTGTGAAGACCAAAGAGCTTCCTTGTGATGGGGAAAGGCAGATCGACAGCTGACGTCAGATGGTGAAATCACCCTTCTTTATTGCTTTCTCGTCCCTTTTAAGGGGGGATGGGCCGTTATTTCTCCAAAAAGTGATTATCGAAGCCAGCGCCATATCATGCGCAATAAGAGCAATGGCCGTCTCTGGAGGCAAAAGCAAGATGAGGATAAGGCGAGCCGTCCCGTTGGGCCTCATATGGCGCCCTCGCAAGCGGGATTAGCTAATGGTCCAGCCTGCAAGCAATACGATTGCAAAACCAGCGTTTTTTCTGGCGAACTCGGCCGCTTTCAGCGCTTTCGGGAGCTCAACGCCGCCCAAGTCAGCGGTCAAAGTCTTCCTCACCGACTCGTGAACAGGAAATGAGGGCTCTTACGATACCTGTATCGCCCGATCAGGCAGAAGATCTCCAGAGCTTCGCCGGCGACGAATCGAACGTTCTGCTTATCGATCTCATAGCCGAAATGAGGCGGGTGAATGGGAAACTCAATTTGGTACTTCAGAGTCCGGACTTCGCCGTTGCGAATTGGGTCGCAGTGTAGCAGCAGCGCCACGCACTCTATCAGATTATTCGTGGAAGGGAGATTCTTCCACTCATGAGGTAGAAAACTGAGAGTCTTTCGTGGCACGTTTCACTCGCATCTGGCGTTGGGGTCCTAGATGATGACGAGGCAGAGCGACTGAGGCACTTCTTCAGAGGGCAAGTCGAAAAGAACCGAAGTGAGCATGCGCGACCGAGACCGAGACAATATCCCAGAAATTTTCGTACAGGACGATCGACACCGTGGTGACACAGATAGTGCAGGGTAACGTCCCATATGTTCGAAAGTACCTTGGGACCCATTCCGATGCGAAAATCTTTCTGCATGGAGTTGACTCATGGGACGGGCTGTTAGCGAGGCGTCCGATGATGAGGACGAGAAGACAAGCTTGAGGGAAGCCGCGGTGGAGATATCTGGGACGACTGCTCTGCACATGGCTGCGTGCGAGCAGTACCCTAAGACGGTTGACCTTCTTCTCTCCAAGGGTGCCAATGCGAACGCCGCAGACATCAACGGCCGCACTCCTCTCATGGAGGCAGCATTGTGGGGCCGCCTGCAAAACGTAGAGATCCTATTGAGGCACGGGGCCGACAAGTTTTTGGCATGCATCGAGCGGGACCGTCTTATGCTTCCTGTCGACTTTGCGAGACCGCTGAGGGAGAAAGCACAGTCCCGACGGTTATGTGAAGGTGGCTCTTCGAGCGCTGAGTACATGGAAAAGGAAGAAAGGAGTCCGCTAAATGAGTGAAGGTGACTTAATGGATATCATGTGATCCAGAGTGCAACACGCGGCGAAATCAGAAACCAGTATGGCTCAAGGGCAACAAGTGCGGAGACTGCTGTCGTGATTGCTGGTGTTTATTCCGTGCCTTACGAGGTCCAGTGCGTGATATGAAAATGGCTGATTTCGGCTGTGTTAATTAATAGAAGCCTCAGGCTTTTCCAGAGCCAACATTGTCATAAAGCAGCTTAATGCACTTGGCTGATACTTGCTGTTTCCCCAGAAGAGCTCTGTGTATATATAATGGGTATGAACACCACATGACTGAAGAGTTATGTGCACACAGCTCTCTATAAGTCCTTGAAAAATGGTTGCTTCGGCTCTGACAAGAACTCCATACGATATTTTCATTCAAATCGTGAGCTACCTCTCACCGTTATCGAAAGACTCGCTTTTCAAAACGCAGAACCACCGCGAAGTTCCATCAAGGATCAAGGAATCTGCAAGTATATGGGCCCATTTGTTCAAGGACGAAGCTTGGCTTCAAGAAGTTGTTGATATAACATATGGGCATATCAACAAACAACCAGTCCCGTGCTTGATCGGCAAAGATCTCATCAAAGTCTCCAAGGGAAAGACACAAGGAGCGTACCTAGCATTGCTCACTAACGACTGGGGCGGGGACGTTCAATTCACAAAGCAAACCTTACTTCATTCCTTGAAGCCCCACACATTCGATAAAGCCAATTCAGAGGTTCACCTTGAGGGTTCTGGAATTACCTTGCATATTTACGATGCTATTAGATCGTCTGAGTCCCTATCGATCCAAGATCCAGCAAGACTTCTTCGCCGAGAGGGACGTGGGGTGTCGACATATGCTATTTACTACGATAACCAGTCTGTCTTAGAGAAAATTGGGCCCCGGCTAATTCAAGGGATCGAAGGGGTAACGTGGAAGAGGAAAAAGGCGGTTCGCGAAAGGTTTGCTATCGTACTTCGCCACCGTGATGGTCAGTCTGTTAAGCGATTCCTCGAGAGCCCGACTAAGACGATTAACTTCTTCTATACGCGGCGTCAAAGTGGTACATGGGATGGGTTTAGAGTAGCTCGACCCGGCGAGAGAGAAAACTGGTAGAATTTGCTTGGCTCATTATCTCGACTCGGCAGCACTTTTTGTCAAAGGAAATGAGAGATGCCATGCATATGACGGTTATAGAGAGTCTATTGGCCTTAACCACTGCCCAAGTCAAGGGGACGAAGGTCCCAGTTATATACACAAGAACGGTGCCCATGTGGGTCGAGACACGTCCTCGACTGAGGCGGAATGTCGTTTGACACTCTTGTCACATTTGCCCGGCCTCAAATTGCACAGAACCTCTCGATCAGACATCGCAGCACTTCGCCGCAACTAGCCCCTTTCTCATGCAGAGCAATAGTAAGGGCGGCTATCGGAAATTATGTGGAGTTTGATTATCCATCTGAAGTCATTCGTCAAGGATACTAAGTCGCCGGCTGCTGAAAATGAGCGGCCTGTTTGTAATGTATTATCATCGGTTTCCAGCGTTCGGTTGCTGGCCTAATCAACGGGATACGGCTTGTATCCGCAAGTGATCTCTGACCTATTATTCTCAGTCTTGATCTACCGGAACGTTTGTGCCTTAAACATACGGTGCGATTTAGATCTGGTTGGTAAGTCCTCCCCACCAGGAACATGAGCTGCGCAAAGCAATCGGCGGCGCATTGGATTAGCATAGATTAAAATCGCCATGGTATTTCCGATTTCGCCCAATTCGATGATCTTCTTCTCAAGCGAAGAGCCCGACTTTCTAATCTTGTTCTTTTGGTCTGACTTTACTCATACGTATCCCATAACGAGAGTTGAGGCTCATACGTCGATGCTTTGCTATGGTTCACCATCGCTTGGTCAGCTTGGCACTTCCCAGTAGTCTACGGCGTTCCAAGCACGCGAATACGGTACTGTTGGTGGAACGTTATGCCAATACACATCGGAATAAGAAGGGGGTCACACACGAAGGTTCAAGATGCATGTTCTATGTCTAAAGGGGCAGTCTGAAGGGGCTATTTATACAGGAGGTCTTAGGGACTTCTGGGGACCTCCTGAGTAATGGGCTCTACCCACGCATACGTGGCTGTGCCCACGCATAAAGGGTAGCCTTCCTTACTCAGGAAGTCCTCATGCGTTCCTGCTACATAGGCCAGGAATCCCTTCTCCGGGTCCCTGGACCCTCCTTAACAGGGCTACCCTGGTCCACCGACAGGTACCTATTGAGCCTTAGTTTAGAGTTACTGCAGCAATTATACATACCGGCCAATTCGGGCCAAATATTGAGCACCGACAGTGTTTCATATGAGCTTAAGGCGGCAGCTGTTTCTGTCTCCAAACCACCTTGATGGTGTGAATGCAATAGAGTCACCCCGCGGCTCGCTTGAACCTTGACAAGGAATCAGCTCAAAGTAGCGGCACGTCCAAGCGTAATGGCCGGCAGCGTATCCATGGCTGAGCCAGAAGCGGTGGACATGACGGAAACAAACCTTCAGAAGGCCATTGAGGCATTCGACCACGTGATTTAGAAGATTGAAGAGGTACGGGTGCTTCTCATTTGAGCTGAAGAAGCTATGGGGAAGGAAACGGACAGAGCAGGCACATTTGAAGCAATGAGTAAGTTTGGAAGGGAGGTCTGGATGGCCTGCGCGAGCTATACAGTAGCAAGGGACTCCATATGAGGTGCAGGTTGAACCTCAATGGGTCAAGGACAACCGAGGCGAGGCGAAAAGGACAACGTGAGAAACGAGTGATGAGCTCCAATATATCGGTGGCGGCCGTGAAATGGAGTTAGTAGCAGGGTTAGATGCGTGATATAAGCCTCGAGGACTCTTTCGAGAAGATCAAAGCGAGACATGAAGCATGAAGGATCTATGCTGTGCTAACCATTACTGTAAGGAAATGGAAGCACACGATGTGTCACGGCACCAACCTGGGTTCTGTCACGTGCCTCCTATACTTAGTCTAGACTCTGTTCCACCTCCGTAGTTTGCCCTCCTCACAGCACAACATAGATCTTCCCTGGCATCCTAGGTCTGCCCCGTGATACGATGGATTATGGAATGGCTGCAGTCCACTTAGTAGCCCCGCAAAGGAACACATGCTTTTGCGGACGCCATCCCCAATTCATTGATAGCTTTCTCGTCTAACTCGACTCTGGCCGTGTCGTAGCTTGATACACCCACAAAATCCGACGGATAGTCGCGGCCTTCCGTAGCGTCATCGCGCAGCCTGGTCTTGACGCTCGAGCTGCTGCACTACGTAATGTGACACCCCAAAGAGAGTGATTCATTTCTGACGTCGTCGGTGGCTGCGTCGGCATTCTGTAACTTAACGATTTTCTTCCGGGACAGCGGGAAGCGCCTGTTGAGCATAATGAAGGTTGAAATTGGCCATTCGCATTTGTTCTAGGAACGGAAGCTACAGGACTCCCCAACAGTAACTAATGCAATACAATGCAAGCGAGGTTGAGGAAGAGTCGCTGAATCTGGAATGACGAGGTTTAGAACGGCAATGTTTGATGGTTTGATATGGCAAGGATTTATTTGGCATGGTTTGACGTGGCAAGGTTTGATGCGGCAAGGTTTGATGTGGCAAGGTTTGATGTGGCAAGGTTCGACGTGGCAAGGTTCGACGTGGCAAGGTTTGAGATGGCAAGGTTTAATGTGGCAAGGTTTGATGTGGCAAGGTTTGACGTGGCAAGGTTTGAGATGGCAAGGTTTAATGTGGCAAGGTTTGATGTGGCAAGGTTCGACGTGGCAAGGTTTGATGCGGCAAGGTTTGATGTGGCAAGGTTCGACGTGGCAAGGTTTGACGTGGCAGGGTTTGAGATGGCAAGGTTTAATGTGGCAAGGTTTGATGTGGCAAGGTTCGACGTGGCAGGGTTTGGATGGGTACCCCCACCAACTGAACCTAACTGGTGCATTCGCGCTAATTCCAGAAGCTATTTAAGGTTACGTAGCGCCGGCTGCTATAAGTCTCGGGTTTCAGGAACCCTTCCCCCGACTTCGACCACAATCCTTTCACTGAGCACCGGAGGCCGGTTGATGGCCCACCTTCCGCTTCCTTACCGTCTCAAAAGCATTGACTGGGCTCAACCTCGTAGCGGATTACTTATTCGAAGTCTCAGCTTCTTCCAGAGCGAAGTTCCTCGATTGCAGACGACCTATAAGCTTCCACTGCAGCGAGTGTCTGGGCGGGGTTCAATCCAATGTCACGAGAATGGCGGCCTGTTCAGCGGCGAGGAGGCAAGGAAAAGGCTAACGTTGGTGATTGCTGAAAACTTAAATCTGACGAGAATGCATTACTACGTCGAATTCAAGGTGCGAGCCACAAATTTGTCATGAAACTTTACGAGCTCGTTGAAAAGTTTCCACACGAGGACTTGGACGCCATCTTTTCCGCCCTAGACAGGGCTCGTCTGGAACGAAAACGGGTAAACCAAGGCACAAGGATACATGGACGCCGATAGACTGCGAAAAAGCCGAGCAAGTTCTCTTGCGAGACGCCTCGCCAGAGCGCTACGACCTCACCTACAAAACCCTTCGGGTGCTTCAAAATATTGGCCTGGTAAAACCATGACAGTCAATGTCGATACGGCTGGGTGGGATGGAGAGCCACACCCTAATGACACAGCTATCATCGTCCTGGTGCTAAATATCGACAACCAAAAGGCCCTAACAGTCATCAACCGAGATCGAAGCTTTGCAACCATCTACGGATCAGGATCAGTGGCGAACTACGACATTGCGGGAACGGTCAAAGAGTTTTGCTTAAGCTATCTTTCGCTCCAACCCGATATCTCATTCGACTCTTTATCCTGCCACCAACCTAACGACGGCCCGAATGATCCTGGCCGTACTTGCGACTGTAGGAACGAGGCTGCTCGCGATCTTTATCTTGCTGTTAGTGGTTTGCGTAGCGTCCTAGGCATGACCATCACGGCATGCATTAATGCCTCTGCTTGGTCTCGTCTCTTTTCAACCCTGCTGACGTCGCGCGATGAGGACGGTCAACGAGGGCAGATATCGGACGAGATCTACCCCGCCAATCTACTCGATCACTTCGAGGAGCTTGGTCAAGGGATCTTCAAGGTTGCACGCCCAGACTTACCCGCGTTTAGCTGCCAATCGCGTATAGAGCGCCGCGACACTAAAGCTCTCCTTCCGCTGCAGTCGGAAAATACCTGGGCTATTGCGATCATTAGCAGCGGCCACGCAGCCGTCATCACCAGCGCCTCGACAGAGTCTATGCGAAAAGAGATCCTAGACAAGGCCCGGCATAGCATCGAACGTTACCCGTGCTTTCGGGGTGCGACACTGAGCGAGATAGCACACCCCCCCTTGACTGAAGACTTCAACCTCTGTCTCCTCCTTGAAGCTTTTTCCATTGCCATGAACGTTGAGATACAGGCTCCGATTGATCAAAACCTTTGGCGGGGATTTTTTCACCACTTGACAATACCGCTCAGAGGCGAACGCAATGCCCTGCAGCTACAGCGTCCTCTTCGCCCGGCAAAGACACGACACGTCGTGTGGGTCGGCATTCCAGCTGGCGACGGAAGCATCCGGGAAAACTCGTTCATCCACGTCCGTGTTTGCTTTAAAGACCTGGAACTCTTCAACGACCACTGTTCTCCATTTCAGTCAGTTTCCGAACACGTGGTGAAAGATCTCGAAGCCAGACTTGGATCTTCTTTCATTGAGTACGATAGTAACGGTGTGGTGTTCATACACCAGTCAGTCTTGATGATGCTCTTTGCTGTCCACATATCTTCCGCAACCGTCGATTTCTGCAACTGGAAGCTGGATGAACAGAACTTGATACATACGGTGCAAAATTCTAGCTGCGATGAAGTTCTTGTATATGTATCCGACACGAGCTGCGACACATCTGGCCTAGTGAGAAGGCTCTACGACACCACTGATTACTTGGAGGCTGTGATGGGTAATATGCGAGTCTACCCAAGCAAAACGGAACTGTCCTGGTGCCGGAATAAGGTAGGCGACGTCAGGGTAATGGACGACATCGCTGCGAAGCTGCAGACCTGGCGACCAAGGACGTGCTTCGGAAGGGCCACTGTGCACTCCGTGATGTAGAGAGCGGTCTTATGGTCTTGAAGAGAAGCTACAGCTGCGCTGGGGTTCACGTTCATGTTGTCCCTGTCACACAACGCGGGAAGCTGCTATGCACGGCTCCGACGCAAGATCGAGTGGCTAGGCGCACCAAGCCTACCAAACGCGCTCAACGTTCGGGTGTGCGAGAACAAGGTATATTCTATTTCCATCAGGAATTTATTCCGACATTTAGGAAAATTGGCGAGTTCAGGGTCATGGTGTGCGGGGGACAAGTGCTCGCTGCCTTCAGAACAAAAGAAGATTGGGATGCGCGTGCCAAGCCGATGGCTCTGCGGCAACTCCAACTCAGCGACTTCAACTGGCACTCCCAGGACGATGAAACTGCCAGAAAGCAGAAGCGAGATGAGCTCTTGGATTTCGTACTGGAAACCGACACTCAGATTCGTCAATTAAAGGGCGAGAGGTTCGAGACTGTACATGTTGGAGCGCGATACGATTGTGGAATATCACCGGATGGTCATTTCTTCGTCAGCGAGCTGACACGTTTCACATTTGCGGACACTTTCTCGGGGGAGTTGGCGCCCCCGTACGATCAGATAATTGGACCGCTGGCGCGAATGATTGCTCGGGTGCTCTTGGCGTAAGGGGTTTACATTGTTATTGAGCAATAGGTAGACGATACATCGGAGCCGGAAGGGAATGATAATATACATGCGCGTATGTATGTATTTGTTTCTAAAAGCTCCGTTTCTTTTCGAAGCGCGCTGGCACCGATGAGCATCGGCATGCGCACACTCTACCGCCTTCCAGTATTATCGTCCTCTCGAGGATATCCGAACCCGGCATCTTAAGTCAAAATCAGGCTATACTTCTCTAAATACTCCTTGGACTGCCTTGGCAATAGCTTTGTTGCTCGTTCAGGCAGCTCCAACGTAGTGTTAAACTTGCAACTAGGCAAAAGGTATGTCGTCGGACAGGGAGTGTTTTGGTGAAGCAGGCAGCCCCGACATGCAGACCTACCCACCCACTGTACCCGCAAACGCAACTTTCCCCCCACGACCGTGTGGCTTATGACTCGGAGTGGTCTGTCTGGCACCTTGCCCTTCTTACGCACATGTGGGTCACTTTGCCAGTACGTTAGAACAGCGGCGTTGTTCTTCTGCTGGATTTTCTCCTCGGGTTCCCAAGTTTCTGTGCCATCTCCCCACTGGCAAGAGAGCTGAAAGCTCCGAAGGGAGCTGTTCTTGCCGCTTCGATACACGCGATGACCGACGATCGTATCGAGCTTTGGTCCAGCTTTGTCGGTTGGGGAGTAGTATTCGGTATCACGTAAGTGGTAGTCATCGCACTCGCTCCGCCACCTACTTTTCACTGTCCTTTCGACGTACCATTTCGCTCGGGACGCAGGATACCCGACATTTTGCACGAGAAACTTGGATTGACCGTCGTCGCGAAGATCGTGTCCCACAACCAGAATGGCATGGGGGACACCATCCTCATCTGTCGCTAGCGGGCGCTTCCACAACTCTCGTCCCACCTCTTTTTTTGGTCTGTCGTAGAGCTTCCACCCCTCACCCCCGCAACCCCAGTACGTGCACACTGCAGCAGAGGCCGCCCTCTGAACGACAGACTCGCGTATCCAATAATATTTGCCGTCCCGCAGGAGGCAGTACAGCTCAAAATATGGAGTGACTTCTTCGTTGACTTCGGGTTTCCGGTGGCTCTTGATGTACTGCAGATTCTCATTCAAATCGTCGATCTGGAGTTTGGAGTATTCTGTTGAACCGTCGCTGACGTTTGAACCCTGGTCTGGAGCTCCTTTAGCGCCGCGAGTAAGTGGCTCGTCGGAGAATATAGGGGTTGCACCTTCGCCGCCACTGAGATTTTCGGTATCGGATACCTCGTAGTTGGACTTTTCTGCCTCTTGCTGGCTCGTCCGAGGGGCTGTCGTCCTGCTGAGATCTTTGAAACTTCGATAGCGCCGAATCCCCAGCTTCTCGGCATTTTGCATCGTCACAATCGACACCGCTTCCAAAGTCGTTGTCACTGTCGCTTTTATTGCGTCGGTTTCTGCGAAGCGATGCTTTTGGCGTGCTTTGTGTTACGGGGTCAGCACTGTTGGCACAGGTGCTGGGCGTAATTGATGTAAATTGAGCTACAAAGAGTGTAAAGGGGAGACGTGTCTACATCGCTCCCTTTAGGAGTCGTGTCCGTGGCGCTCGCACGTGACTAGTCTGGCCATGCCAGATCTACACATCGGGGCGTAGCCCTTACATTAGCCCCTACTCCTCTCTGGCGCTGGTGCCCTTTTCCTGTTCCTGGTCCCCTACAACGATCGTAGGCCGTCGTCTATAGGGTCTGGTGCCGTTACTATCGACGGGGCGTCGCCATTAGTCCTAGCCCGTAGTGGTCCGCGTATTCTCTTGCCCTGTATCTGCAGCTGTGGTTGTATTCCTTCGACTTGCCCTGTATTTGGGCCGGCTGTGCTTCCGTTGCCACTCGTCGGTGCTGGTATGGTCCATCGTTTTCGAGAGCCGGGCCGTATCTCTGTTCGTACTTATCCAAGGCCGCTGTCTGTTGCATATTGTCTAAAGAGGTCCAGGTCGGGTCTTGCCAACCTTGCCAGCGTACAAGGACTTCCCGCCTACGGCCGCGGCCGGTTCTCTTCCACCTAGCGCATAGTATTTCCTCTACTACTTGGTGAGCCTCCCGTCTACTTGGATAGATGGGGTTGAGCGTCTGTGCGTTGCTGACCAGGCATTGGGTCCGTCCCCGCTCTCCGGAGTTGGTCGACGTGGAACCTATTATAGCAGCCCTCGGGAGGTCTGCTAGTTCAACCGTGTACGGGTCGAGTACCTTGCTTATCGTATACTTAGCGTGCAGCCAGTCGAACTTCTTCTTAGGTCGCTCTGACGCGTAGTTCCGTAAGTCAAGCCAAACCTTATCGCCTACTTCGAAGCGTTCTGCCGCGTTCCGTCGTCTGTTAGCGAAGCGTTCTTGTTGCTGCGTAGCTGTCGCCATTGATGCTTGGCAGAGGTCCGTAATCTGTTGTAGTTTGGTAACAAATTTCTTTGCCCTGGTTTCTGGCGAATGCTGAGGATACTCTTCCGCATATGCTTCCGTAACGAGGGGAACTGGTGACTTCGGCTCATAGCCGTGTATAGCGAAGAATGGGGACATCCCTATAGAGGTATTGACCCGACCGTTTAACGCCATCTGAGCCGCGGGAACCCACTTATCCCAGTCGTTCTGGTTCTGGTTAATCACGGCGCGGAGGTATGCCTGTACTTCTTGGTTCATCCTCTCAGGGCCTCCGTCGGTTTGGGGGTGGTACGCCGTGCTTAGCTGCTGGTCGATCCCCAGTAACTTGCACATGTGCCTCCAAAAGCGGCCTACCCAATTCGAGCCCCTATCGCTCGTTATAGCGTCGGGCCACCAGTGGTAGCGGGCGAAGCACCATAGAAAACGCTCTGCACATGCTTCCGCTTCCATCGTTGGCATCGGTTCGAGTATAACTTCCTTAGGCGGTCCTTGATAACCCAGAGGCAGCGGTTACCGTTCGCAAGGGGAGGTCCGTAATAAAGTCCATCTGTATCTGGCGGAAGAAGCGGTCCGGTACGGGTAGCGGTCTAAGTAGACCCTTTATGCTCGCGCCATATCTTCGTACGGCCGCAGACATCGCAGTTACGCAAGAAACGTCGGATATGCTGTTGCATTAGCGGCCAGTAGAAGTCCCTGGATACGGCTTCTTTCTTCCCTTCCGTCCCGGGTGGCCTACTACATGGGAGTCATGAACCTTCTGGATTAAGGAGCCCGTAATTCGTTTAGCGACTCCTGCTCTAGCGGTGCTGCCTTGGCTGCTGCTTCTGTCGTGATCGGTGCGCCTGGCACCCATAAGCGGCCACGTAGTCGTAGGTGCCCCCGAGGATCAATAAAGCACTCGGCGACTTGTACCTTCAGCTTAAGCTTGGGGTCGAGGGACCGAGATCCGTTTCGTACCGCGTTATAAACGCTTGTAAAGACTGGATCCTGGTTTGCCGTTTGCTGCCATAATTGTTGTAGCTCTGGGTCGTGGAAAATCGTGTGTTCTTCTTCGCCTTCTCCCGCTTGAGTCGACGTTACTCCGACGTAGGTACGTAGGGCTGCTTCTGGAATAAGCTGCATATCTCGTGCTTCGTGATCCGCTTCGTTTGGTCGGTCCTGTTCGCGGCGAGAGCGCGTCTGGCACCACTGCTTCCGTCCCGGACGGTACTGGAGCTGGAAGTTAAAACGCGAGAGATATTCAGCCCAACGTGCCTGCCTTTCCGAGAGCTGTTGGCGCGTCATGAAATACTCGAGGTTCTTATGGTCGGTAAGGATAACGAAGTTATCACAGCTTCGTAGCTCGGCTGACCATTGTTCGAGACAACGAATAATAGCGAGCATTTCCTTATCATGGATTGGGTAGTTGCGCTCAGCCGGTGATAGCTTCTGCGAGTGGAACGCTACTGGCTTGCGTTGTCCGTCGACTTCCTGCGTAAGTGTGCCCCCAAGCGCCCAGCCGCTACAGTCTGCTTCTACGAAGGTTGGCCTCTCGAAATCCCATTGAGTAAGAATAGGGGCGTTCGTAAATAGCGTCTTTAGTGTCTGGAACGCCATATCGTGCTCGTCCGTCCACTTGAACTTAGTCCCCTTTCCTGTTAGTGCTGTTAGGGTGCAGTTATTTCGAGGCTTGCGGTATAAATATCCGGTAGTAGTTAACGAATCCTAGAAAACTGCGCACCCCTTCTGGGTAACGGGGACTGCCCACTCGACTATTGCTCGTATCTTGTCGGGATCTGCCTGAATGCCAATTCCTGCGTGAATAATGAATCCTAGGTACTTAATCCGCTTGACTCCAAATTCGCATTTCTCCGGGTCTAGGTGTAGTCCATGCTCGGCGAGGCGTTCTAAAACTAACCGTACCTTCCGGAAATGGTCTTCTCTGCTCGCTCGAATAGATAAGTATATCGTCCATATAAGCAGAGGCGAACTCGTCGAGGTAGTCTCGTAGGATACCGTTAATATACCGCTGGAAGGTTGCTGGCGCGCCACTTAGCCCGAACGGGTAACCATCCATTCGAAGAGACCGTACCGGGTGCGGAACGCTGTCTTCCACTCGTCTCCTTCTGCAACTCGTACTTTATGGAACGCTTGTACCACGTCGACCTTAGTGAACCACTTCGCATCTTTTAGGTTGCGAAGTGTGTCCCCTATTAGAGGAAGGGGGTAACGGTCCGACTTAGTGATTGCGTTCAACGCTCTGTAGTCACAACAGAATCGCAGCCCGCCACCTGGTTTCCTCACAAACAGGACTGGAGCTGCTGCTTCTGAACTGCTTGCACGGATAAATCCTTTATCCACTAGGTCTCGTAGAGTCTTCTTAAGAACCAGGAGTTCCTCTCGTGACATACCGTATAGTGCTCCATACGGTAGTGGTAACTGCTGGCCATTCGGGTCCTCCTTGATTCTGATTTCGTGGTCTATGCCTGGCTTATGAGGATTCAGCTTATCAGCTTCCTTCTTCATAAATAGAGGCAGTAAATCGTGGAACCGCTGGGGTATCGTTCGGCGTAGCTCTGCTTCTGACATGGGTTTCTTTGGTGATAACGCCCTTTCGATATCCTTCATGCTGATAGCGAAAATCGCCGTGGCAGCTGCCTCTCTTCCTTCCTGCTTGCGGATCCTTTCAAAGTAACCCACAAAGGTACTGGCTAGTACGTGCTTTGCTTCTTCGAACTCCTTGGCTTTCGCAGAATATTCTCCTTCCCCGAGGTGATCTACCCAGTCTTGTGTAGGTTCATGCCATAGTCGTTTCTCGTGGGGCACTGAGTACGACTTTGTGTGGCATAACCAGGGTTTTCCTAGGATTAGGGAATTCCAATCGGGGCACCACGTAGGCACAGATCGTCTGTATGTGGCCGTTGACCTCCATTGATAGCCATACGAGGCCCCTAATCGTTGCTCCTTCCATTGCCCCTGATGCTCCTGTAATAGCTCGCGGTGCCCCTGCATAACTACTATTGTCCTCCATCTTGTTCGTCCGTCTCGTCGTCCGATCGATCGTCCGTCTCGTCGTTTAGCCTATCGCCTGTCTTGCTGTCTGTCCTGCTGACTGTCCTGCTGTCTGTCCTGCTGTCTGTCCTGCTGTCTGTCCTGCTGTCTGTCCTGCTGTCTGTCCTTCTGTCTGTCCTGTCTTTGTTAACTGGTAGCTCAATATGTTACAGGGTCAGCACTGTTGGCACAGGTGCTGGGCGTAATTGATGTAAATTGAGCTACAAAGAGTGTAAAGGGGAGACGTGTCTACATCGCTCCCTTTAGGAGTCGTGTCCGTGGCGCTCGCACGTGACTAGTCTGGCCATGCCAGATCTACACATCGGGGCGTAGCCCCTTACACTTTGGCCGGTGAGTGGAATTCGGCTCGCACGAGCTTGGCTGGCTCCGGTCGTTGTGCTGCCGGTGCGGACTTTTGGATGCGTGCTTTTGTTTCTCGCCATCATTCTAGGGTCTGTCGTGGGAACTCTAACTGTCGGCGTGTTCTTGAGCGTTGCCTTACTTTTTCAGAAACAATGAATTTTCGTCTGGCGGGGACAGCTTAGACCGGCTGGAATGCGGCTCCGTGGCTGTACTGTAACGAATAACCGCAAGAGAATCTAGCATGCGTCCCACGGTCCGTCTCGGCCCTCTTCCCCCTTCCACTTTAGCGTTGATGCGCTATTGGCTGCCGTTGGCTGCCGGCCCCATGTAACCTTGGCCCCCTGGCTCCCATCGACACACGCGGAAATGGCCTGTTTTGACTTTGGACTTTCTGCCGAGCTCTCCACTTTCCTTGCTAATTGGTTTGGAGCTGGAGGGTCTTCACAGCGCTGCATATGAGAGCGGATTTTGCCCGCGCTGCCGATGAAGTGTGGCGTGGCCAAACCGATGCAGAGTGCCCAATCCTAGCCACGGGTCTGCAGGTTGAGGTAGCACTAGGTGTGCAGGGCTGTCGGGGCCCATTATGGCTACGAGATACGAATAGGAAGCGGTTCCGCTGCTTGTCTCACATTTGACTCCAGTGATCAGCGGGCCAAGAAGTGACACCCTCTTCGGGCCTTGCTCCTTTGAGTGCGCGAAGGCCGGTCTGAGGTTACCGGGCCCATATTAAGTCGAGACATATGCCTAAGCAAACTCTTGCTACTGATTGCTGCATTTGCTGGGATTAAGAAGTATTTGTTAAGCCGACGGTACCTAGTGTTTAGTGAGATTCGCGAGAGATACCAAGTATAGCTGCTATATGGTATGTTCATTGGCTAACATCTCTGTAAGTGACCTTCGACCGGCCTTCGCGCACTCAAAGGGATAGGGCGGGCTGACAGGTAATTAGCGTCATGCGCCAACCTGACGTGACTCAATTCAGGGCTGCAGATATAATCGTAGGCTTTAACCGTGCCGTACCTTCCTCTCTCACCTTCTGCTCCACTTTCTCGTCCCCTGCAGAAACCTGTTTTTCCCTATAAGTGCAAAATATGGTCCAGGACGAGGAAGGCGGCGGCAATAAGAGTGCGTTTCCCGTTCCGCTTTGGTCCTTCATGGCTCGTGATTGGTGAGCCCTATCGTTGCATTGTTGGTCTGCTGTGCTGCTAATGGATCATCGCAGCCGTTGGTGGGCTCCACTTTAACATACTGGGATGCACTAGCGTATCACAGAGCATGAACCAGACGGGAGGAACGTCATCTGGGCGCTATGGAAGCTGAGTGCGATCGATAAGAGCTAGCGTAGGATTTTGAGAGTGACAGGTCAGTCTGCAGGTCCAGGCAGCATGCAAAACACATGTCTGTAGGTTAGTTGGTTCCCACCAACTGGAGCAACCCTACATACATTCGATGCGTAGCACGTGAATGCGGCTCGCTGTGCCTCCCTTCGCTCCACCTCTTATTGCGAAGCGGCAGTTGGGGCAGTATTACTCGTCTTCGCTTATCGATATGGAAGCCAAATAGCTCACGACTGTCGCCCGGTTCAGTTCAAAATACGACATGCTCACATGTAGACGCAGTCTTCGCCGAAACGGGAGCCATGCGCCTCGTATATGCGTATGACTCCGTTACTAGTTGCAAGGCCGCAACAAACCAAGAACCAACAACCGGCCTTTAAGACCAATCGGAGGTGTCCCGGCCCTGTAGGGCCTTCACTGCCTACCTAACCATTATCCTTCAGCACGAGCGTGCATTTCCATAACCTGCTGCCATAGGTGTTAATAATGCCCTGCCTACCAATCAAGCCTGAGCAGCTGCGTCTCGGGCTTGCTATGGTGTCGTGCAGCCGTGCAATTCAACTACCTACCGATTATTTCGAGCGCCGTTTTGATCAAGTGTCATGAAAGCATCAGGGGATAGGTTCTGCCGTAAGAGATGAATGTACGGCTCACTGTTGTTGGATACTTACCTGTGATTGTCGAGTGTTTAAAAATGGGCCACTAAGTTTTACCCTACTTAAGCAGCCTGGTGTGACGAGTGAGTCCGCGTGCATCTCGTGCAACCATTTCTAGGTTCTCGGAGATGAAGTGAGACTGTTGGTCGAGAAGCATTGAGGAGGGGGCAGAACGGTATCAAGAGAGAAACAGTGTTGGAGCTACTGATGTAGGTGTCGAGTACTTATAGGCGTCGGCTGGAGACGTTTTGATCTCTCTCTTCTACTGTTCACTTATAACGATGTCAGACACCTATCAGTATCAAGTACAGCAGAGTGCTGTGGCGGATAACTCGCAAGATTGCAGTTTGCTCCCGCAGCAGTATCCGGCCTTGCAACGCCCTCCCTACCCTTACCCCCGTCAGTATATAAACCACGTTCCACAACAGCACTCTGAACTCCCTGTTCAACAGCAGCACTCTGAGTCCCCTGCTCAACAGCATCCTTCATTTCTGCCGCCATGCATTATGCAAGCTTTCACCTCTAGCCTTCAGTACGTATTCTACCCTGCGTGAGTATGTCAATCGCTGATGGGCCTACGTAGAGGTCAAGCTGGGATCCCTGGGAGCCAGCTTCAGTGCACGGATTCTCTTGGCATCATGGCTGGGGATGAAACCAACTTCTCGAATATAACACGTACCCACTTCCATGGCGAACATAGCAACGATTGGAACATTTACCACACCGACAATATCGATAACGACGGAGCGCTAGGCTCAGCGATGTGTGATCAGCGGAAAATGATCGGCTAGGCCAACGAGGCTTATTTGAACAAAGGCACCACTCGCTCCTCTGCCTCATCAACAGTTTTTATCTGGTGAATACCTAATCGAGGCCAAGAGCCCCGATATTTTGGCTCGCCAAGGCCAAAAAGTCCACGTAAAGGACGTCGCCGTCGGAAGCGAGCCCTGACATCCTCCCGACAAGATCGTGGGCTTGACAGCGAAGAGGTCCTCAGGTATGCTTGGAACATTCCATGCAATAATCTGACCGGCAACGCAACGAACTGATCGGAAGTCGCTGACGTTTGACCAGTTCACCCCGCAAAGAAGTATCTAGTTTGCGAGACGACGCAGTCAACAAGTATTGCGCGTGGCAGTGTACAAAGGTCCGAAGCTCGATCCAGAAACAAAACTATGATCTGGCACGGGGGTTGACCATAGATCATGGACTTGATCTTGAGCTACTACAAATTAACCAGGACAGCGCAGTCCGGTTATATATGAGACACGGAGTGGTTGAGGGCGTGGCGTTTCGCTGGGTTCATGATATTGGGGCTTTTCTAGACCAGTCTTCTGAAGGAAACAATCTCCAGCGCGAGATCCTCAGTAAGAACACTCTGGGATCTGGACTTGACGATTAGGGGGCTGGCAAGCCTGTGATTTAAAAACGGAAGAAAATGTTTACAGGGCACTGGATAAAACGAGCACTGAGCCCCACTGTACAAGAATAAGGAAGATGCTCTCTGCAGATGCTTATTACTGAGCCTTGTAATGATGATCTGTGGCGACCCCACGCGTCACTCTGCCCCGCGTTTTCTTATTAACAGATCTGGGGACGCTGAGCCTGAGCACCGCTATACGGTGTGTTCGGGTTTGCGACTTCAATAGAAGAATGTAGACCAACCTCAAGGTATTTGTGGCTGTTATCAGTGTGATTTATCCGTACCTCCCGCCATATTGGCTCTATGCCTACAACTACCATAGACCGTCGAGGTACGTACATGCAGCACATCGTCCAACTCTCCCTGTAAAAATTCTGTCCCTGGAGCTGTTAGCGGCTTGCTAGCTGGGGTCAGATTTACAGCGCTTCAGCTGCGGGGTCCATCGTGGCCCTAACAGCACAGAGGAAAACCTTAGGAGAGTTCATATTCCTCTGCGAAGCCGGTCTCGACAACACGTCCACTCGGACCTCATGGCTCTCTTCGGAACCAAGGAGCTGTGGGTATTGGAAGGTCCGCCCTTCTAAACAACGGTGGCTGGTCGCGGAGGTTTTTCTCCTGAAGGCAAGCTGCGCGACAGCCTCTGATTCCTTCTGAGGGGTTTCCTACCGCCGCTCCTCGCTAAGTCCATCGCTTGGTTACCGGAGCATGGACTGCGGCAGCAGTCTTAGCAGCGAGCGAGATAATCCTGACCAGGAAAACCAAGGGTTGACCATTGTGGCAATTGCCACGCGCCTGGAAGTCGCGCTGACGGGAGACAGGCTTCGACAAGGAGCGCCAAAGAGCCTACGAAATGCTGGATGGACATTTGGGAGGACTGGCCGCGGGGGCTCTGGTCACTTGTATTGACGTTGTATTGACGTGCTCAGCGACAACCTACCGTCGGGCGTAGAGAGCCGCCTCCAGGGATCCACCTCGACAGCTTGCCTTTGCGAGGCCTTGCAGGGAGTACTGGGTGCCCTTTCGGTGGCAGGAATTTTAGATAGTCTAGCTCAGCACGTCCTGTGCCCCGTCTCGGGGACCTGAGCGGCCTGAAGGCCGCTGGACAAAAAATACACACATGTCAAGTTCTCAACGTGTTACCCAGCCTCAAAGCACTGGCTGGTGTTATACTCAGGAAGGGATGCCTGGCTTTGAAACAAATTTTGGGATCATCTCGTCACGGAACAGGCTGTTTGGATAGTTGCTTCTGTAGGGCTCGTGACATCGAAAGAGCTACCATCAGAGGACGACCACTTCGGAGTTCAAATCCTCTCAATTTCAGTCGAATTCTGCGAATAGTTGCTCGCTGCAGGAAGCTATTTTCGCGATGTCAATATGTGAGCGGACGTCAAGAACGAGAGTCTTAATATGCTTGTGTTGGGTCATACAATCTGGAGGCATTTCGTTCTTGGCATTACCGGACGATTCGAAGTGTGTCGGTGAAAGTGGAAGAAGTGGGGAAAATTCCCGCGACCAGCGGCGGGGTCGCTACTCTACCCATCGTCCAAAGGCCAGCCAGCCGCTGTCGAATCGAGTTGACAAAGTGCCGGATACCTAGAGAACCGAGCGCTGTGCGACAGGTAAATGCTCGTGCTTTCAAGTTCCAATACGAGAAAATGCACATGCGTTTTCGCCCCATATACAGTATCGGTCACCATCCGAGCCCTTCCGCACAGAAGCCAAGTCGGCGGATTATGGCCGAGACAGCAAACCAACAGAACTTATCGCAAGACCGCCGAGTATATCCCTTAGTTGGGAAGCAAACAGCAGTGGTGGAGTGCACCCCCTATGCAGCTCCCAGGGTGTGCCAGCCGCTACACCAACGGCCCCAGCAGACCTGTGGAGATTTCCCTTACCCAGGAGGCCACGGGGGACTAAAGACGTGATTGCGACTGTGTTCGACCGTCCGACCTCCGTGCTGCGATATGCCAGTCCGCATTATTTGTTTCGGGAGCTTCGGGTAGTTTGGTGCTGTCTGAATTCATCAAGTTAAAAGAGAGAATTACACTATGCGGTTCCGCTGGTTGGGCTAGGTCCTCACACCTCAAGAATCAAGGCTGACCAACTGCAGGGCATACCCACCTTGGTTCCCACCCCCCCACAAACCTATCGGATATTCGGACCAGATTGCCGCTGGCAGGTGCAGCACATTTGAACGCTGGAGCCTGAAAGATGTGGACAAGCGCGAAGTGTTTGCTTGTAACAGTACATCAATACCATGCTACTGTACCATGTGGCCATTCTCTCCAGAGACCAAACCGCAATAAATACCATGTTTCGTCGCGTGCTCAATTTCTACGTTCCATACTTGGTCCGCACCATCATAATAAGTCCGAACCTCAATTCATCACGTCTTGTTGATCATGGCTATGACGATTCCGTCCAGTTCTCGCATCTTTCAACAAATCGAAGATATACAAATTCGAATTTCACAGTGCGAGCAAGAATTAAAGTCCCACAAGTCACCACGATTCGAGTATGAGGAGAGACTGACCGATGTCAACACCCGCATTGATGAGGCTTGGGAACGTCTGTTTTCAGGTCAAAGCCCGATCGATCGTTCCGAGCTCCAGAGCAAGATTCTGAATTATGGCCGTGAGTTGGAGAGGATTGAAAGTGAACATAAAGAGGGCCTCGAGCTGCAGAGGCTTCTTACCAGCGTCGTATCGATGCTGTTTGGAAAGACTCTTGCAAAGGGCTTATCGCAGTATTGGAATCTATGCTGCTTCCAAATACACCGCAAGAAGCAGAAGACAGGGAGCTCCAGCAAACACTTCCGAATGGGTCAACTAGAGATCAGCCGAAAGGCTCTCAACCGGCAACACCCGTCGAATCAGTTGGGCGTCGTGGGCCTCCTGGGGGGCCTTGCACGGAGACCACTGACACCTGCGGCAAAAGCAACAGGGTAAGTTGCCCATGCCCGACCGAAAAGGACTATATTGACGAATCAAGCCTAAACGAAGGCTCGATAGGATGATTCAGCCGCAGTGGAAGAGGCGACGAATCACTGAGAGCCAAGAGCGGCATAGTGACGATTCACTGAACGAGAATGACGGGCAGTTGCAGGATGATATAGCCAGATCTCTCACCCTGGCGAAGTCTACCTTGCTTTCAAATCCGACGCCTGGTCGCCAGTACTTCTCTTGCCCACAGACAATTTGCACGATGTTGGCCTTCCAATTACAATCGAGGCATTGGGTCTGACGAAAAACGTCCCGCACTGTTATGAGTACGACCGGGAAGAGAAAAGCTTTCGATGGCGAAAGGAGTACGAGGGTGGCGGACGTCTTTTCGCAGAGCGGCAATACCCCATCATATTTTTTGATTGCTTGATTTTCCGGAGAGAAGCTCAGTCGGCTGGGTCGCTGCCAGAGACCTCCGAAGCTTCGACTTAATGGATGCCAATATTGACAAGCGCATCAAACACGTCGGGCGGGTTCGCCAGTTTGTCAATGAGCGGGAAAAGTCACGAGCAAAGGATAAGGATGATGCATCTGCCTCTCAACGAGCAAGGTCTGTTGATGGTGAGTCCCTGGTCTTGATGAGAAACCTCAATTCTAACACACTATTCCCAGGTGACGATACTAGGAGCTTAGGGGCTTTCCGTCTGACGCCCAAAACCAGCTGCGGAGATCAATCTCAGTCAGGTGAAATCGGATTATGCGCGGCCAAAAAGGACCCGAAGGTCTCAATCGACGGGGAATGCTCAACTGACGATTCGGAACCAAGACTTGGGTGCGATCCCAATCGAGAAACAGCGAGCTGCCCCCAATCTGAGCAGGATCGCGATGGCGACCGCCCAAGGAGGACTTCGGTCTTGCACCTCATTCGAAGGCTCCCATATCAACTATGGGTTCGACCTCAGGATCTGACGATGGTACTCCATGCAGCGAAGGGATTACGAGGTCACGCCTGCAGGATCATCTTGCTTCTGATACTACGATTATAGTGCGCGATGAGCGGCCACCAAACACTGCCCAAGACGGACCTGAGCAAATTTTGTTGGACCACGGTACGTCGGTGTCGCACTGGGAAAAAACAAGGAGACTCTGACTAGATACTAGACGAAGCTAGAACTGCGACGCCTCAACACCATTCGAAGGCGACGGCCGATGCGCAGAATTCGTCACGCTTCTACGAAATCCTGGATGTTGAGCCTAACAGCGAGCGAGAAGCTCAACCCAATGGGCCGGACGTGGGACGCCAACTTGAGGGTGTTGGCGCTAATGATTGTCTGCCTCATACAAACTCTCAGACTGCTACTGCACCTACATCCACGTCAGATTTGGATGATTGTGAATACGAGAAACAAGCTCTTCAACCCGAAGACATGGATAAACTTTGCAGTGACGGGTTGCGATTGGCTACTGCGACGCGGACGTCTCAAGGTTTCCTTCAACTAGCGACAAATCGGGAAGGACTGGCATTACGCGCACACCCCTTACAAACGTTGAGACCCACTATTTTCAGGTACCAGCAAGCTAAGTTTGTGACCCAGACACGGGACAATGGCGACGAACAGTCTGGAGACGTAAATCAGTGTTTGCGGCTGCGAGACAACGCGGCTCTGCGGCGCCATGAAGACTCGCTGGCATTCCTGGACGGACCTGACTCTAGTGAGTACACAGTCAGCCTCGTCAGATCTCAAATCATTGATATGGGGCGACTGACACGTACACCGCTATATATGTTATGGCAGTGACGCAGCAACCTAACTATTCGATGACGTCCAGATTTAATGGATGGCCCCAACTTCTCCACAGAATCTTCTTACGGAATTGACTCAAGTCTCAGGGTGGAAGATCCTGGCCCACATGTATTCATGGATCGTTACAAAATGTATTGTTGCCCCTTGAGTTGTGATAATAAGTGGCGATATTTGGCCTGGTTTACGAAGCATTTGCTGCGTCATCACTCCGAAATACAGTAGATGCTGTCTAGCTGTTTTTTTTTACTGCACATTGCTAAACTTCCATTGATTGAAATATGCCACATCAGCCATGCTAGCAGCGGTGCTGTTGTGATGTGCATCTCACTTTTGGCTGGGTGGTCCATGCGACAAAGTTCTCTGCGGACTACTATGCCCTGCTCTACCAGCTGCAGATTATCTTGGATGATAATAAGTCCGCCTTACGACGAAGAGATATAGCCGCCAAGTGTAAGTGAGAAGATAAGAGAAGAGAAAGAGGTGGAAGATGTGGGGTGCTTGGCGACTGATAGTAGACGTCAACCCCAAGAACCGGTATTAAGGCAAGTTCGCCCTGCCGCCTGGAAGTGGGAAGTTGTTGGAGTGATGCTGTACAATAAGTAAGTCCTGTCGATACTTCTCACCTTGGGAGCATTTCGGCGTTTTCGTATGGGATGGAGACGCCAACGATCTGACCTGCCCGCCAGGGCGGCCACGATTATCTCACGGAGGATGAGCCGAGCAAGCATGAAGATCGGGGACTGAAGAACTCTTGATTCTATATATAAGTGATAGTGAGAAGTTGGCTTCTTATACTTGTGACGTTGGGTTGAGTGCCGATATCGCCACTCAGGCAGCCTAGATGACGATGTCATCTAGAAGGTTCGAATCCATCACTAATATGGCAGTACGAACAGCCACGACCTAAAATATGGGCCAGCTGTGCGAATATGGAAATCAGATTGTTGGAGGCTGATACATCCTGTGTGACAATGTTCATTATCTGGTTAAACGGAGACAATGAGGAAGGCTACCCCATCGAAGTCTTCAATGAACGCGGCTGTAGGGTTCAGTCGACTTACGTTTCAGCAAGTAAGAAGCGCTATGCCGTTACGTGTGCTTCGTCTCCTACATAGAACAACGACCTTGGTGCCCGAGCCTGTCCGAATCTCACGTTAATGCTAAACAGTAGCGCAAATGCCGAGGCCTCCAGCCCCGACACCAGTTGGAGAAATCGTTCCGTGGTATCAGACAATAAATGGCGAGCGACCCGACGATGAGTCGATGACCCGGCATACTGTACCAGTACCACCCATAGGTTCTCGCACCTCGTGATGATCCTAGGGTGAGTCCCCATGTGTTCTCGCCGTGCGGTGATCAAGCCGACAGACGGGATGCGGCGGTGCGAGTGGATTTTGGATGCGACAAGACAGCAGCAGGATCGCAGCTTGTCTCGCAACACCTTCTCAAAAAGCCGCCCCACTGCAGCCGGTACGGGATCCTTACACCATCTTCTACAGATAATGATTGCCGGACCTACAGAGTTCTTGTCCCTCACGTATTGCAACGTCGGGGGCGGCGGGGTAAAACCGTCTTGGGTCCCTTACAATGCCGTTTTACAAGCCGTCAAACCACACCCAAACAGGCACTAAATGTCTTGAAGTTCCGGCAAGTCGCTGCGCAACAGCCGGAAGGCCTCCTCCCGACCATCTTTTTGGAGTAGTGGTGTCGTTACGGTACAGTGAGGCTCAGGTGCACAGCACCGAGTTTTAGTGCCCACTAAACTCGGAATTAAATCCTACGCTGTTGCTCTCACGAAGAAAGTTTGCAGAAAGGGCATTCTGTGTAGTTTCATTGTATTCCTTGTCTCTCTCCTTCTCCCTTTCTGGCTTAAACCCAAGCCCCTATTTATATCCCTCTTTCGTAGTAAAGGTAATGTGTTCAGGGAGGCTGGGGACCTGGGGGTCCCCAGCCTCTCGACTGGAGATGTTCCAGTCTTTAAGAGGAGCTTTCCAGCCTCCTCGTTCAGACCTGGTTATCAGCTCCCTTGCTGCCCTAGCTACCCATGGGTGACCTGGTTGACTCGACCATGGGCCGTTCTTCGCGACAGTTGCAGGGCCTTATGTAATTGTCAACTGCGTGAGTTTTGCAAGAAAATTGGCCAAACCGAAATGCCATTCTGTCGGGATGGATGCCACACTTGACGAGGGCATGAGCGTATCATTGGTAAGTCAACACACTGCAGCCAAGACCTGCTACAGGCGATGAACGCCACTCGTAGCGAAGCTCCAGAACACAATGCTCAGAATTTCTTTACGTATTACTTCGTGAATTCGGAAGGAGGTCAATTTGTGAGTACCTACCAGCCCACGGCATTCCATGTTGTGATGTCCAGCCAAGAGTGGTCTACGCGACGGCATCCATAAAAAAAATTAGCCAAAGTTAGCTGTTGATGTCGAGAAGAAGGTCCGAACGAGTTGACGTCTCTAGGTCTCTCTAGGTAATACAGCTTGAAACCAGGTAAGAAGGGAAGTCTGCAGACTGTTATTTATTCTTCCTAGACCACTGAGGGGTCCGGAGGATCTCCTATTCGAACGGGGACCCTTGAGGAGTCCGGCATAACTATCACTGGCTCGGGGACCTCGAGAGACTGAACTATCGATCCAAAAGCTAGCAGAGCTATTTGATCGGGGAGATGGAGCTGATGTTGCTGACGTAGATGACTTACGTGGCCTTCAGTAAGTGGCAAGAAGTGCCCTCTTCCTGATAGAATGTATACTATACCTGAAAACGGGATATCAACTTGGGAGAAGCTTGAGGATACAAAGGGGCTGTTTGGACGGGAAAAGGGCAACTGGGGCAGAGCAATCAACACATGCACATCACAGACTATCAGATCATCTGGGAATCTACCTACGAAATGTCCCTTTATTCACTTTTATGCCCACTTTGATCTCTCCTTCGCGATAGTTGATCTACACTTCTTGGTACGACATACGACCCATCCAGTGATGAGACGAATGAGTGCCTAAGCCCAAATATATTTGAGAACAGGGGCGAGATTAAGCACAAAAGACATAACTTGCAGCTCATCTAGATTGAACATATAGATCTTCACGTACGAAGCGACCGTGGTTAAATGGAAAATAGTATTTCTTCCGCTGGATTTGCGCAACTTCGTCAAAAGGAGTCGCAGCGGGCAACTACTCGAGGAGTCGCCCCAATGAAGACAGCGCACATTCAAATACCCGACAGTGTCTTGCGACTGGCTCATGCTAGACGTCGAGTTTTTGTCATGTATGAGACCGATAAGAGAATTCGGTCTAGTAAAGACGACAGAAGGAAGCAAGCAAGAGCTCGAATGTCTCGAAGGAGAGTCACCACAAAGCGGGAGCTTCGCAGCCGAGGTCGAAAAGCAGAAGCCACACTTCGGCTAACATCGTGGTTCCTCTCCGCTCTAGCGAGCCGGGAAAACGCATGTTCAGTGGTGGCACAGGAAAGCGACAGAAGCAGGCACGAGGCTGAAGAGGCAATTTCCAAGTGTAAACAAGAAACGATAGAAGCAATACGAACCTTTGTGTAGGATTTTCCGAACATGATGCTTAACTCTTAGTCTACCGGTATGCCTCTGTTTTGCATACTTGATACGGAGGAGTCGAAAACAGCAGGTATACCTCCCCATTTGCGCTATAACGCATCTAAAATTCACTGCGCTGAGGCGAACGTACATGATAAGCGCGTGAAACGCAACGAAAAGTCACCCGCTGATGGATCCTTTTCGAAAGATCTTGAAAGATGAATCTCCAACCTCATCCTGATAGAGCTCCATGGTAGTGAAGTAGAGAAAGGGGGGAAGCGCTTTCGCGTCTTGAAAGCCCCTCACACTACCCCCCTCTTTTCTGGTGGCAGATCTGCGGTCAACTCGTGCCTTGGCTAATCCATAAAACATATAAGGAACTATTATTTCTACACTACGTGTTGGCCTACACGTTTACTGGGGCGTAACGGTTACCTGACAAATATCGTTGCGTTGCCCCCCCTCAGGATTTATCTCACCTTAAAATCAGCCTTTATTAGCCACAGAAGGTGCCAATTTAACAGACAAGTCAGCCTATCAATTTGTCTGCTGCGTGCGGAGCAATACAGTATGCAAGCCGGGCGCGAAAGCTTGTGAGTGTTTCTACCCAGTGAGGCAGAACTGGCGACCAAACCATTTTATTCGTCGCTATCGCACAAATCCGAGAGATGCAAAGTCATTTACTCACCTTTCAACCTCGGCAATCCAGACAAGCTCGCCGCAGTCGCCTTCAGACTTCTATCTTCATCCGTCACGAACTACGTATTCCCAAACTCGGACGTAGGTGTCGCCGTGGGTCAGTGGGCTTGAGCTCTAGTTCCTCGCGTTCTAATTCTTTGCGCCCAAACTGACGCCGTCGGCAGTCTCGAATTGCGGTCTCTACAGCCAAAGGATAGCCATTGCCCACCAATATCTAAGATGCTTCCCCGATCTCCCACTGTCGATGCCTTCAACCAGCAAGCACTCAGGCACTTTGGAAACCAGCCAGTCAGCAGCGATATGATCGCGTATCTCGCGAGGATCGTGGACCGTGTAGTAAGCCACGGTTCACCACCTCCGCTCACGAGCCCGTGCGCCTCTCTTCAGCAGAAGGATTCGACGCCCTTTCCTTCTGAACTACTTCAGTATGGAGCTTGCTGGTATGAGCCTGAGAAGTCTAGGCTACCGGCACTGGAGGAGTTCATCGCGAATCTAGTAGTCTCATCGGAGGTCAGAGCCTTACCGCTCATGTCGACTCTCGTCTATCTCAACCGCCTCAAGTCAAAGCTGAATACGACAGCCCATGGCGTCTCTTCTACACCACATCGCATATTCCTAGCGTCACTCGTCGTGGCCGTCAAATTTCTCGATGATAGTCCACCCAAAAACAAACACTGGGTGTTTCACTCTAGCGTCCAGACTGCTACCTCGGCTCTTCAGTTCACCCAAGGCGATGTGAATAAGATGGAAGCGCAGCTCATATGTCACCTAGATTGGGATCTGACAATGAGCGAGCAGGACTTGTGCGCCGCACTGGCGCCATTCTTAGAGCCGCTACCGCTGAATATTGGCAAGGCACGCAAGAAAGAAAGCATGGCGAGAAGATGAGGCAAAACTGATTCAAGACCTAGAAAGGTCCATTCCGAAGTGGACTGCAGGTAGCTACGGCCAGGGCGCTTCCAGTCAGGACGATCGATCCTTGCGTGAGTACAAACGAGTCTTAGAGGCAGCGCTTGGCCAACTCACTGCCTTGGTGAATTGGAAAGCACCGAGAACAATACCGCCGAGCAGCAGAAACGACACGTTGCATGAATCTGGGAGTCAAACCGATGAAATACGGCACAAAGAAGACGTGCCTCGCTGAGACCGCCACGCGTGAGCGTTGACCGTTGACCCAGTCAACGCCGTCGGAGAAGTCCTCTGGGACCGGGGAGTCGGCGGCGTTTGGGTTGGCTGGGAGCTGGCTTGGGCGGGCACCCGCTCGAAAGCCTCGGACGGTGTCTTGGGTAGAGCCCGTTTTGCTTTGCCACGGGGAGTGACTTCGAGCAAGCTGTTGCTTCATGACGCCATTTCAAGGAAATACCGCCCTGCCAAGGGAACAAAACTTGATGATAACTCTACCAGTCATCGCCTGCCGCCGTGAGGACCTTCTGATTCTGCCACTTCTTCCATATGGCTGTCGCATTTGACGAGGCACCCGAGTGCGGGTTGCGCAGACCAAGGAAGAAGCGTGGGCTACTTCCGGCTGCACACCATCTTTCGTGGAGTGTATGTCAGACTATTGATTCAAATTACACTGCTATCACGACTTTGCAAAGCGGTACATCGACGTTCTCGGGAAGTTGCGTTCCGGGGTTGGGGAGCATGGAATAGAGGGGCGTTTGCCAGCAAGCGGGGTGACTGCCATCCCCGGACCATACCCGCTTTTCTGCGGCCGGCTGGACAGTACAGATTCATCTCAACATTCGCGCCCAAACATGATATAGGTGCATTGAGAAAATCCGATGCTAGACTTTGTATTGGCCTCTTTCAGGCGGGAGGTCCGCGTGGTTTTTCTCTAAGCCGTGTCGTTCACCATTTGTCTACATTTTATGTCTCCTTGCCCATCTCGCGGCGGCTGGTGGGGTTTGGTAATTGCATCCCTGCAGAGTGTGGCAGCCTTAATAAGAGGGTGGTGCGTTTCCTCTGCCATGTATGGTGACTCGCAGATCAATGACACCCTACCTCATGAGCGACGTGGGAGGGAACATGAGAAGATGGTGTTCCGCTGTTCCCATTGCCATTGCAAGAGAGGGAAACGTAATAAGTATAAGTACAGCTGGCTTCCTCCCGGTGTCGTCCTGGGTATCCCAGAGCATGCCCTGAAACGAGCCCTTGAGATGAGCCCTTGAGGAGAGCCACTGAGCCCTTGAGACGAGCCCTTGAGACGAGCCCTTGAGACGAGCCCTTGAGACGAGCCCTCGAGACGAGCCCTTGAGACGAGCCCTTGAGATGAGCCCTTGAGATGAGCCCTTGAGGAGAGCCACCGAGCCCTTGAGACGAGCCCTTGAGACGAGCCCTTGAGACGAGCCCTTGAGACGAGCCCTTGAGATGAGCCCTTGAGGAGAGCCACCGAGCCCTCGAGACGAGCCCTTGAGATGAGCCCTTGAGACGAGCCCTTGAGACGAGCCCTTTGAGACGAGCCCTCGAGACGAGCCCTTGAGACGAGCCCTTGAGATGAGCCCTTGAGATGAGCCCTTGAGGAGAGCCACCGAGCCCTCGAGACGAGCCCTTGAGACGAGCCCTTGAGATGAGCCCTTGAGACGAGCCTCGAGACGAGCCCTTGAGACGAGCCCTTGAGACGAGCCCTTGAGACGAGCCCTTGAGATGAGCCCTTGAGGAGAGCCACCGAGCCCTCGAGACGAGCCCTTGAGATGAGCCCTTGAGACGAGCCCTTGAGACGAGCCCTTTGAGACGAGCCCTCGAGACGAGCCCTTGAGACGAGCCCTTGAGATGAGCCCTTGAGATGAGCCCTTGAGACGAGCCCTTGAGACGAGCCCTTTGAGACGAGCCCTCGAGACGAGCCCTTGAGACGAGCCCTTTGAGACGAGCCCGAGACGAGCCCTTGAGACGAGCCCTTGAGACGAGTCCTCGGGATGAGTCCACGCGATGAGCCCTAAAGACTTGTCGACGTTTGAACCGTCATTGTTGGTGTTTGAAGTTGATATTGGTTCTCTAGCTCGTGGTTCGACTTGGGTAGAAGTTCTCAAGAGCTTATCATCTTTTGATTTATTGTGCCCGATGATTAAGTACCCGCTACCCTTTCGGGGGCATTGGAATTAGGACTTCATTCTGAAAGATGTGTTGAGTGTTTTCTTTTGGTAATGGCGTGAACACATCATGCTGGCAAAGATTACTTGTTTCTATCCTGCTAAGACGCTAGTATTCAGATTTAACGTCCTCAGATCAATAAAAAAAAAATACGGGGTAAGCTATGCGTGGGGTTGTAAGGATTCACCATACAAGGCCAAATAATGCTTGCAGAAAGCATTTGCCTTGATTTAACAGCTCAACAAGTCGCCGCTATATTCCAGACCATCACTCTAGTGGGGTTCAGGTACAGCGTCCGGGCTTCAGTGTTCATTTAAACTTTGAATTAAGCCACTTTGGGCTGCTTGAAAGTCACGGCCAGGTAGCAACCGCGAAACCGAACGTATGGCTCTCACGAAGAAAGTCAGCAGAAAAGGCATATTGTAGTTTCATTGTATACCTTGTCTCTGTCCTCCTCCCTTTCTGCCCTAAACCCAAGCCCCTATTTATATCCCTCTTTCGTAGTAAAGGTAATGTGTTCAGGGAGGCTGGGGACCTGAGGGTCCCCAGCCTCTCGACTGGAGATGTTCCAGTCTTTCAAGAGGAGCTTTCAGCCTCCTCGTTCAGACCTGGTTATCAGCTCCCTTGCTGCCCTAGCTACCCATGGGTGACCTGGTTGACTCGACCATGGGCCGTTCTTCGCGACAATAGCAGATGAATGATTGCCCAAAAACCGCTGCAATCAATTTTTGATAGGTCTAGAAATTAACTCCTGGCTATATGGACATGTTGCCATGTTATATAGCTGTTAAATCAAGGCAGACACTCTTTCTGCAAGCATTATTCAGCCTTGAATTGTGAATCCTAATAACCCCACGGATAACTTACTGTCAGAGGGAGCAGACTGACGGTCTAATCCGCACACGTATAAACTCCGGTGAAAGAGGCAGGTCAGACACAGGGACTTGAGTCAGGTATCGATACAGTAGAGGAACATTGCCTAATCAGGATACACGGAATTGGCCCTGATTCAGGCCCTCCACGGGTCCAAGATTGGTATCTATTCGTATAAATACCCCCTCAATGTCGCACAGATAGATAGAAAACATGCATCATCGTTTGGACTCAATTGTGCCTGCCCTTATCCTTCCGCCCGCGCTCTCAGCTTGCTGAGACTTACCCATTGATTGATCTGCGGACGCTAAACCTAAACCTCACTGTATATACCATGGAGATATGTCCATATTGCCAGGAGTTGATTTCCAAACATATCAAAAATTGATTGCAGCGGTTTTTGGGCAGTCATTCATCTGCTCGGTTTCGCGGTTGCTGGTCGTGCATTTCAAGCAGCCCAAAATGGCTCAAATTGAGCCACTTTGGGCCGCTCAATTCAAAGTTTAAATCAACACTGAAGCCCGGACGCTGTACCTGAACCCCACTGTGCATGCAGGGGCTGTCGGTTTTAAAAATACTTCTAGTCGCACCTCAGCCACACCTTGAGGGCAGCAGCCAGAACCGGCCTAGCTGAGCCTTATTATCTGGGTCTGAGGGTGAAACTAAAATCGATCGGGACTGTACCTATATGTTAACTTATGAAACAGACTTTCTTCGTGAGAACAGCCGCAGGGCTGCTAGGCAGCAGCCTAAAAGTGCATTTAAAGCCTGGTGGAAGCCTCCGCACCCGAACAGTACAAGCCACTGCACCTTAAGCCGACGACCGGCTGCCCCTGAGCTAAAACTCCCCGACCGCTTCTCCACCACCTGCTTGCAGCCAGAACCCGTCACGGGGACTTTGCCGACTACCACGAGAGGTTCAACCACGACGATGCGCGACTGACGTGCTCATGTGGCCGACGAAAAGAGCCAAACCATGTCTTTTATTGCCGAAAGATCGAGCCGCGGCATCGGATGAGGCTGACGCCCTCACCGAATGCAGCAGTCAATCGCGCAATAGGCAGAGACTTCGACAGGTTCGTCAAGCTGGCGAAGGCGTCCTCCTTCTTTGAATGGGCTTGCCCTCGCCACTAGGCGGCTGCATCACATCTTTCCCTCACCTCTTTCCTTTGTTCAAATCCCCCCCGGATTCGGCCAGGCAGAGGGTGCTGCAACACCCTTTGCCCGGCCGGGCCAACTGAGGCTGCGCTCTGCAGTCTCCGACAACGGTCTCTTGGAGACCAAAACTGAATGGCAATCTCACCACCGCGCCTGCACGACCCGCTGACGGGCACCAGGCTCAACACGGAGCGCCTCAGAGCCGATGAAATGCTGGATGGTGGTTGGTTACGTTTGCGAGAGGAGACTGTAGACAGCCTACTAGCTCAGCACGTCCTGTGCCCCACCGGGACCTGAGCGGCCTTACGGCCGCTGGACGGAAAATACACATACATACATACATACTTCGTGAGAACAGCCAAGAAAAGTTCTGGTGGAGAAGGCGGGAAGGGAGGAGGGGGGGAGGGAGTGGTGCTTTGTACACCCTCCTGGGGACGGTTGCCACACCTTGTGCCACTGGACAGCCGACCACACTGCAGCCCGAAAGCACTTCTTCGCCTGAGTATCCCGATATTCTACACTGGAGTCAGTCCGTGCTTCTGCGAGAGGTCGCTCGATATGACTTCAGGTCTCGCAATAAAATGAGGGTAAGAGTCAATCTGTTCATTGTCGTCTATCTAAACTGAATGTGAGAAGTTCTGTCTTCTTATAGTCCTGAGGGAATGTGACTGCTTTGCGGTGTCGAAGTTGCCACTTGCCACCCAGGGTGCTTTTGTAATGTTATCTAGAAAGTTCCATGGCGTTGCTTAACAATCGCATATTTCATCATACGCATCTTGAATGCGACATCAGGAGTGGCTTCATTCAGGGCTCGCTCGTTAACGTGTCTTCTCGACAGGCCTCGCACGGCAAGGGGAGGTTTGTTTCAGGCCGAAACGCATACAGATGTTCAAGTCAGATGTCAACCATCTTCAAGCTTGACAGTTCGATCGCGTTCAAGTGCCCTGGAAGGAGCATTGAAGTGAGAGTGTCATCTATGTAGCTACGGTAGTCCGGGGTGAATGTTACGCAGGGGCTACCCGGTGAATAGGACGTGCCGAACAACGCATTGGCCGACTGCAGTGATAAAACATTAGCCGCCATTTGCAATAACTATACACTGACTATGCCAGACAAATCAAAATCGTACGGAGAGTGCCCCAGCATGGGTCAGCGAAGAAAAATGGTAGAACGTTGGAATCCACCGGGGAGAGCTCAAGGATACAGTACTATTACCTTCCGTGGGCTGTCATTCATTCTCTTTCATTCCCGCCCGCCAGACTGGCACGCCAGTGATAGTTAGTTTCCATCCCTTAGCCTCCCACCACGACTGGAACTAGAACTCCTTATTTCGTCCGCCGAATGGGTGTGAGGTCTGCCAGTGCCTCGCGGTAGCAAACATTCATTCGAAAATTGTATTTCAGGGCGTACAAAACGGACAGTCGGCTGAAAGGGTGTGCCTACGTGGGAGGTGCTGTGGCGGTGGAAGGAATTTGCAGCATTTAGAAAGCTTCCCAGCCTAGATAGCTCGGATTTCAGAAGGAAGAAAATGTGTAGCAGCCCTCAATTTGACCTCTAATGATCTATTTTACTTTCACGAGCATTATCGTCTAAACAGAGGCAATATCGTGTCAGAAGAGTGTTATAATTTGACAATGATCCTCTGGCTCCCAAGTAGGGCCGTCGTGATTTCTCCACTTTATGGCGTAATATACTTCGCCTCCATCCATCTCGTAATGCCCGAGAACACGCTCAATCTGATCGTCTACAGCACAGTATGCGTCTCGTGGACATTGTTGAAAGTCTTGCCACAGTTGGAAAGTTTGACCATCGTCATAGATCCAAAGCAACTTGTGTGCTCCACACAACCAACCCCGTTCATCGCGGTTTTCGACTCTCACGCCGTACAATGTTGAAAGAGCAGTTCGAAATTGTTGAATGAGTTCAACGATAGTGACATTTGCTGACCATGGGACCTTGACAAAGTCTCCTCGACGCGGGCTTAAACGAGAGTATTGCGCCATTGCAAGATATGAAATAAAAAAGAGCGTATAATTGTAACAAATCGCAGCTCTGAATTCAGCCGGCGGATGTTGGCTAAGAAAGAGAAAATTAGCCGATGTGTGGTTACTCTTGCATATTTCCTGCCAGCTAAAATCCGCTCCTGAGGGAGCAGCCTGAATGATTCATGGAGCCTCCAAAATCTTCCCGAGAAAGCAATACCTGGCGCTTGGAATACCTAGATAAAACTTTACAAAAGGTGTCTCCGCTCAAACTACTTGTGCTCGCACAATCATTCTTATATCATGAACGCAACAGAGAAGAGATCTACTGGGCATTCCCAAACTGAAATAGAGCTTGCCTCTAGTTGTCCAATCCACCTGGCAATGACGGGGAAATGCTGCAATTTCTCGATCCCATCTTCAAATGCTATACTGGGACTCTCCGGGACGTCAACATCTATTCCATCTCTTGGTTCGAGCATACATCGAGTAGAGAATTGGACTCGTACAGCAGGCAGCGGTCAATCTACCTTACCCGACAACTCTACTCATGGTTGGACGATGGCACCACCCGTTTCACCAGTTGTCACTGCGTTTGCACAACATAATCTTGCTTTCTCCGTACTGATGATATGGTGGATCACTATAACGGTGATCTTGCATTTATACTAGACACGTTTACGCACGATTGTTCGTTGGTATGTTCTTGGAGTCTAATTTAGCTCATCAACTCAATGAGTTTGCACAGCTGCACCCGTATCTCTTTGCTGGAACCTTTTCTTTGCGCCTTAGAATCACGATCGGCATCACCCAATTAAACTCCACTCTTCTAGAGTATTAAGGGCTTTGATGATTTGAACACTTCACCGGTGTTAATATTACCTCGAGGAGCCGCTTAGCTAAAGGAGACGAACGGTACTGGTGTCGGGTCATCCGGGAAAGTTCAATTTTTCATTGAGACTAAAATGCGCCAAATGGGTCATCATAGGT